GCGGGTGGGATTTTATCTAATTGATAATAAGGTGATGACGTATTATATTATGTAGGTATACCTTTTACCCCAGAACAATAACATTGCTAAGAACAATGAGACAATAATAGTTTTAAATTTTCCACCTGCAAGCTGCAGTAATTGGTCAACACAAGAATTCAAAAATACCACARAAAACTGAAAAGTATAGATTCGCATATTCTTCTGTTAGATTAGGTTGTGTTCTTTTTTTTTATAATATGTAAGTTACAACAATATTGAACAAAAAAAATACTGTAAATAAATTTCAAAAAGTTTTAAATTAACAGTAAGGGGGAAAAGAGATTATAAGCCCAATAAAAACTGAATAGCCTTGTAAAAACTGGACAAAATGGGTCCTGTATACTCTGCGATTTTACGTTTTTTATTATGTTTATAATTTATAATTTATATTATTATTATGTCATTTTGAAAAGTTTAAGCTATATAATTTTCAGATACCTACGTCCGGCGAAATTTCCGATCGGCCTAGTAGGCGGTGTACATCAAAGGAAAGCTGTGCGGGTTGTGTGCCGCTCGCCTGTGCCGTGTGTGTGTGTGGACGAATTTCTAGAAAAAATGCGTAGCATCAGTACTTATTTTTAAGTTTTTATATTATTTATTAAGTAGGTGAACCAACTTTTTTCAAATTCCACACCATGTGGACGCGTATTTGCGTGCGGCCGTGCCAAGGGTTAAAAAGCTGCTTCGTCGGGACGCGTTAGTAAGAATACGGGTAGGTGCAGAATTAATTTTGCGATTTACTATATTATAAATTAATTATTACTATAAATACCATACGTATATTTCAAAACCATGATATTAGATGGGATAAATATGCATTAGGTAAGCACGGCAGTCTGGCCATGCCGTCGTGTTACTTTTTATTACAAAATTATCATACTAGAAATATCAAATGCACGTACCTATATGCGTCAACAACGCCATTCGTCGATTCCAAGAATCGAGACGGATCAAAACGTTTACGACTTATTTAAGAAGTACCCATGTACAACAACACTTTTATTCAGGGCCGGCTCAATCAAAATAGCGCACTAGACAAAATCAAATTTTAGTTTTGAAAATGCCGTTCTCTTACTAAAGTGCCAACCTAGGCGTGGGCCTATGMCGCTTACCCCTTGAGCTGGGCCTGCTTTTATTATTCTTGTTCAACAAATCACTCAAAACTTCGAATATGACCAAGGACGAGATGACGTTATGACAACAACAACACCTGCATCGGTGTTCCACCTTCTATTCTCTACTCTCTATCTTGTACCCATAAGCTAAGGGATATTCTGTTTGTTATGTATTATTAATGTCCTACCATACGCGACGTATGTGTCTCGCATGACATTTAGTTTACGTATGTTGTTTCTACAATAAACACTTTATAATCATTCATACTTATAAACTGTAGTTATACTGATTAACGTTTAATTGCTGCATTCATATTAATGCAACGATCCAACAATTAATATAAATAAAAACATRAAAGTATTATATTGACATTTATTGTTAGAAGTATAAATCGTAAAGACGTACATTATAGTTMTACTCGCTAATAACCGATGGACACCGATCGTAATATGATACTTATGATTATTGTTAGTATAAACAGTATACGTGTATAGTCGTGTAATAACATATAAATATGATAAATGATGAATATGCAACACTGTTCATAGCATAATCAGAATTAGTCTAGCTAACACACTTGTAGGACTTAGTTGGTCTTGGAGCAAGTCCTCCCCATCACTGCCAGYGGCCAGCTTAAGTCGATTCGACAATTCCTAGTATTTTTAAACAGTGTAACTAATATTTGTCGGCAGGGACTTTTCGCTCTGTYCACAAATTGATTTTATTTTAATAAATAAAACCTTATAATATTTCAATCTTTTCTCTCCTTTGACTCATTTAAACCTTTCCTTCGTCTCGACCTGATCCGCATTGCCAATACCAACTGTAGCGTCCTAGCATACAGGAGGACGAACGACTTGGGTTGAGGTAGATAGTTCGGGTGAAATAAATATAACAACTTGGCTTGTGATTAATTATTATATATTTATTTGCTATTGACTTGTACAAAACACCGTTACTGATACAACACTGCTAGTAGCTTAACTGTCGAAGACAGTTGAGAGTTGAGACTAATAGAAGTGTTAGATAGATAATTTAGATAGATATATTATTTAATTTAGAATATTCCAATTCCAAATGACTAAATTGAAATGGTGAGTGGCGTGAAGGTGCTTGCACTGACTTTGGTGGCTCACATCTGCTTTTGGTGAACTGCTTACATAACTAGTTAGTTAGTTAATAATGGTTTTATTATATTTACAAAGTTTATGATACAAATATATAGGACATAGGTATTATATAAAATAATTAAAAACTCAAAAATTTTACATGGACTTATAAATATGATATAATATTTGTTTAATAAAGAGTAATAATTTTTGGGGGGTGTAGGGGGCAATGCTTTTTTAGCTTTTTAGCTTTACAAATTTAATATTTTATAAATTTTRAACTACAAATTATTAATAATTGTGTTTTTGTTGACATTTAAACTTTAAATGCTTATAAAAAATAATCATGCCTATATATCGTTAATAGTTTGAAATAAGCATAATAAAAACTTATGAGGAACCGCTTGTATTATATTTTTAATCTTTTTGACTAGTAAGTAACCAAAGTTACCGAACAATTTTAACAAATATTCATTTATTTATTTTTGTTTTTCTTGATTGCTTTAAAAAGTACTTGGAATTTTAAATTTTAACATCCTTTAAGTACCAACTAGATCCAATTTGCTTCCAAAAACCTCCATCGAAGTTTATGACCAGAGTATTTTTTTTTACTGGATGTGGATATATATAAATTAAAAATATATTCTGGTTGCTCAAGCAATAGCCAATAAACACCCCCTGAATATAATAATATGCCCTATTCAAATTCGTGCCACTGATAAGCAAAAAAAATATTTTATAATCATCCAAAATAAATAATAAAGACCTGTCTCCATTAAAAGTAACTGTGACTTAGGTACTGATAACCAAGCCACACTTGAGGCCACCCTAGAAAAACTAATATAATAATCTATAGTCTATGATGGTTAGGTATTTATAATACTCCCCCGAAGGGACCCACCTTGACGTGGTGGGGGGCTCACCGACTCCGATCGGTGCTAAGAGGTACCCAACCTCCGGTCCTGACTTTAAATAGTTGGGGCCGGATCATCCAGAACCGCCTTTTGTTGGGGGTGGCAGGCATGGTAACCACTTGCTACCACCAGTAAAAGGACCCTGGGGAAAACAGTAAACCGACCTCCGGGGGAACCGTCGACCCTCGGTGGTGCTTGGACCAACAGGACCACACCCGACACAAGACGGACGGAGCGAGGCTGGCTTCGTCGATGGCTGACAAGCCAACCATACAAACATGAACAGCACAACGAAGAAAAATGAATCTCGCCCTGAAGCCCTCAGGGGGGGTGTCCAGCGTGGCCCTTCCATCGGGTAACATAACAGCTGAGACAGTCGAACCCATTTCCATGGGTTCGCAACGGAACCACGGCCAAGTTGGAGAATCGGACTGAATCGGACCTAACCTTAGCTTAGAAAAGCATGCCAAGAAGACTATTAATATAACAACATTAAACGAAGAGGAGCTGCTTAACATGCTGCAGAAATATGTGAGCACCATGGCACTCTTTGCCAGTAACAACAAGAATGTCCACMGAGAACTAAAAGAGTACACGGCAAACACTAAGTTGGTATTAAGCCAGTTTGTACTGGTGAAATAAAAGGAGAAGACGTCTCCATCTCCAGAGCCCCGTGCTACATCAACTGAGAACTTCAAAGAAGAACTCACAGAGGAGATAAAAATCCTAAGGGTACTCATATTGAAACAAAGCGAGGATACTTCCAAGTTGATCATGCAAGTTGAATCAGCAACAGGTATTGCAACAACAGAGGGAGGTGCAAAAGAATCAGCAACAGGTGCTGTTGGACCGGCCACAGCAGGGCAAGGATAAGAAGCAGCAACAAAAACCCTCAATACAGAAGATAAACAGACAACAGCAGCAGGGACAACAGCGGCAACAACAACAATAGGAACAGAGTCCACCGCTACAGTACTACCATCAGCGACAACAGCGAGATACATAACAGGAGAGCCAAACACAACAACAACCACAACGGCCATCACTAGAACAGGTTGAAAGTGAAAGTGAGAACAGTACATGGACGATGCGYGACGGTGACCAAGGGAAAAAAAGACAAAAAGGAAAAAAGAGAAGCAAAGATTACAGCGAAAAAAAGAGCCAACAAACTACGGAAAAAACTGCCCAAAAACGAGGCAATAATCCTAAATGTGCCACGAAATGGACCAACATACGCTGAAKTCATTAGAAAAGCAAAAGAGGCAGTTCCGAACCTCGAAGAACTTGGAATAGAAGTTGTAGGAACCAAAAGAACGGCGGCAGGTGACATCCTCCTCGAAATTAACAGTAAGGAAAAGGCCAACCTTCTCACGGAAAAGCTAACAGAGAAACTAGGAACTGAAATGCAAGTAAGACATGCCACCAAAACGACACCGGTACTCATTTWGGGACTGGATGAGTCCATCACCCCGGAAGAACTGCGGACGGAACTTGCGAAACWTTACCCAGAATTAACCCATATCAAACCATTTGGCATTCGGGTACGATTCAATGGTTGGTGCACAGCAAGGATAGAGGCCCCAATAGCGACTGCATTCAGGATAGCATCTAGTCAAAAAATAAGGATTGTCTGAAATTGCTGTAGAATAAGACTGCCAGAAGAGAAGAAAAGAACTTGCTTCAAGTGTTTAGAAACCGGACACCTCGCAGCGATGTGCAAAGGAGAAGATCGCTCCAAATTCTGCTTCAGATTCAAAAAAGAAGGACACGTGGCTAAGGATTGTAAAGCAAAACCCATAGGCACGACGGCCAGCCATCAATGATCCGCTTCCTACAAACAAACATTGACGTAGCCATTGTGAGCGAACCGTATGCGAAAACAATAGTAAAGAACCCAAACTGGATTCTTGATCTAACAGGCAGAGCAGCAATTGGAATTCTTAACAACTCCCACATGGTGAGCGGAATTGAACGAGAACGTGGCTATGTAGTGGTCACAATAAATTTAACAGTAATATACAGCTACTACGCATCACCCAACGCACCAATTACAGCATTTAAAGGACTACTATACGAGATCGAGCATAGTGCTCGTGTGAAGAAAGAGGCAACAATCATAGCAGGTGATTTTAATGCAAGGGCCGCAGCGTGGATGGACACGGCAGCAGACACAAGAGGAGAAGAACTCATGTCTCTGATAGACACTCTCAACCTAGAGATAGCAAACACGGGAAGTGAACCCACCTTTGTTGAAAAAGGAAAAGGTTCCATCATTGATGTTTCCCTGGCATCGGGAACGCTAATACAGAAGATACAGAACTGGGAAGTGCTACATGACGAAAATATGATTGACCATCGCTATATCACGTTTTGGCTCGAAAACCCGATAGGACAACACGAAGCACCAAAACCAACTAGCCATAGGGGATGGGCCATAACGCGCATTGATCCGGACCTACTAGCGGCTGGGCTGCTCCTTGCAGAATCGACGAGGAAATGCMACCCAACGAACCTAGGGCCAGAAGAAACTGCAATGGAGCTCGAAAGAGGTATCACGCTGACAAGCGATATTGCCCTTAAGCGGAAGAAAGCTCCGCCACCGGGGAAAAAACCAGTCCCTTGGTGGAATGATGAAATCGCCACGGCCAGAAAGGAATGTGTCAAAGCTAGGAGGAAATTAACCAGAGCACGAAGGACCTAACAARGAGAGGCTGTCGCAGAAGCCAACGTCTACAGGGAAACATGGAAGCAACTAAAAATATCCATACAAAAAAGCAAAGACAAATGCTGGAATGACCTCACGAAGATGGTGGACGATGATCCATGGGGCAAACCTTACAAAATCGTAATGAGGAAGCTACAAGGTCCCCCTGCGGCRAACCGGTTAGAACCTAAAGTACTCAATGAAGTAATAGAAGGACTATTCCCTTTTCACCAACCGATGAACGCAACTGATGAAAATGACATTAAAGAAATTGAAAACTTTAGCCAGGAAGAAGTGAATGCAGAAGTGAATAAATTCAAAGTAAGGAAAAAAATCACCCAGCCCAGACAACATACAGAGTAAGATGTGGGGTGCAGTGCATGATACCTGTCCATCACTACTAACAGGAATCTTCAACWATTACCTCAGATCGGGAATTTTTCCTGAACGATGGAAAAGGGGAAGACTTGTGCTGTTGCGGAAAGGGCAAAAACAGGAAGGAATCTCCTCCTTGTACAGACCACTGTGTCTAATGAATCACATAGGAAAGATTTTGGAAAGTCTCTTGGCCAACAGAATCCGGGGACTTGCGGGAAAAATATAGACATTTAAAATGGACAATACGGGTTCCAAAAGGGTCGATCGATAGAGGATGCAGTGAAAAAGTTAGAAAGCATTGTCTCACCCTCATGTTTCCGCCAGAGATTCAGCGTTGCTGTGAGCCTAGATATCAAGAACGCCTTTAAGAGCGTGAGCTGGGAAAGAATTTAAGCCTCACTGAAAAACATCAATGTACCTCCTTATTTAATGCGAATGATGCGGTCGTATTTCTGAAACAGAACGATCGAAATAGAAACGTCGTCTCGAAAAATTGAAAAGATGGTAACAAGTGGCGTCCCCCAGGGATCTGTACTTGGACCACTACTGTGGAACACTATGTTCGACGGAGTACTGCGGGTGCAGATCCTCCGGGAACCACAACCATCTGTTTCGCCGATGACACACTCATCATAGCAGAAGCAGGTACAATCAAAGAGCTAGAAGCAAGAGCAAGCAAATAAGGCGATCGAAGAGGTATCAAACTGGATTCAGCAAACCAGTCTATGCCTGGCTGTGGAGAAAACAGAAGCAGTCCTATTTGCATATAGGTACAAGTACAACAAACCCAAGCTTGTAATTAATGGCAAGACATGGAAGATAAGCGAGACAATGAAATACCTAGGCTTCATTGTTGATAAAAAGCTTGACTACAGTGACCATATCCAAACCAMTGCTGCAAAAGCCAACATGTTATGACGTCATTAGGTTGACTAATGCCTAACCTAGGGAGACCGACGCAACCACGAAGACGCCTACTGTGCAGCGTAGTACACTCAATACTACTATATGGAGCTCCAGTTTGGAACAACACACTCCGATACAAAAAGAAAAACAAACTGGAACTACGTCAGGTGCAAAGAAGAATAGCCCTCAGAAGCATATGTGGTTACCGCACGATCAGTTATGTAGCCTCCAACATCTTGGCCGGAATACCTCCGATTGATCTATTAGCAGAAGAACGAGAGATAACGTTCAATCAGCGAAGAGCGAAAAAACAAAACTTACGCCAGAAGAAAAAAGAAAGAATCGAGATAACACCCTGAAAATCTGGAATAGGCAAATACGACAGGCAGAAAAAGGACTGTGGACCAGGACCATAATACCTAACATTGAAAATTGGGTAAAGCGCCGACACGGCCAACTCACGCTTAGACTGACTCAGATAATGTCAAGCCACGGTTGCTTCAATCAATATCTGAAGCTCATTCGCAAAGCACAGATAGCCTTGTGTGYGCAMTGCTCGCAGGAAGAAGATGATGYGGCACATACTTTGTTTCAGTGCCCTGCATGGCAAACGGAAAGAGAAAGACTACTATAAATACTAGGCCAAGTGGACAGCAACAATCTGGCGGAGAGGATGTTGGAAAAGGAACAGTTCTGGAAAGCAGTACAAGAATACGCAGAAGTGGTCGTGATTTCAAAGGAGGAAGATAAAAGGGAACGGCAAAATGGAAAAGCAAACCAGGCTCCAACGTGGATCGCTAGTTAAGTTAATATAGAATGTAGGCCGAAGGCCAAAATTAACAGGGTGGTTAGAAGCTCCCATCTGTTAGAAAAGTATTGTGTTTTATCTTTCCTAYTATGTACAAATATGTATTTGATTTCACAATAAAAGAGGGTGGTCCTCCGGAAGTAATGCCTCGCAGTTTCCGGGGCATCATCGATTAATATCAAAAAAAAAAAAAAAAGGTACTTATAATAACTAATAATGCTATGTACTGATGTCCCGCTAAGGCTACGGTTACTATGTATGCGAGTTCTGACGAGTTCTGACGTATTCGTCTAAACAAACAAACGCATGTTTTCTAATGAGATTGYTTACACTGGTAGCGTTGAGTACGTCACAACATACACGACGTCGTCAGAAACAGTTGAGCGTTCAAACAAGTTTGATTATTTCGTCAGAACAATTATTCGTCAGAACTCGCATACATAGTAACCGACAACCCTAGCCTAAGACTACTAAATACGCATTTKCACGTAGGTGTACGTGAGTGTCCCTGAGGCATATGATTTCACCACCGATCACATTGTGTCAAACTTCGATAGCCGGTACGAGTAGAATATTAAAATAAGAGAAGCTCATTGTACGAAATTGAGATTACGCGTGTCTCACGAATAGTAGGATGTGACCGAAAATCCGCACGAGCGTGGGATGCTACGGTATCCTATAGTGATATGCACGTCCGCATTTCCACGGTTAGACCATGAACACATACTTATCTTATCGATAGGAGTGGAAATGCAAACAGTAGGACTATATTATAGGAGAGTCCCGAATAGACCAAAATCAGACGTGAACCACCAGAGTCAGTGCAAGCACCTTCACGCCAGACACCATTCTAAATTAATCATTTGGACTTGGAATATTTTGAATTAAACCATTTTGTGCAGTAAAAGTGCTTTATTTACATAGCAATCAAATAAATATATAATAACTAATCACAAATCAAATTGTTATACTTATTTCCCTCAATCCATCTACCTCAACACCAGTCGTTCGTCCTCCTGTATGCTGGGACGTTACAATAAGCTAAATATGTATTATGTATAAGGATGGAATTATATTATTCCTTAAAACACTGCCTAAATAACATAATACTTGATGAAGCAAATGCACTTTTACAATATAATACATTAGTATTTTGTTCAGCAGACAGTAAACAGGTTAGTACAAGCACATAGGATTCATATATTGACCAATACCTTTGCTAGGTATAGAAATTAGAAATATATATAATAAATATGCAATGCGCATAGTATAATGTAGGTAGTTTTGATTTATAATATTTAAAATACTTTAACAACAAAAACGTATAATGATGTGTAGGACCTAGTGTAGATTATATGTAGATATAAATATTATATATATCATGGGGACATGGGGTGCCGTCAAAGAGTGACTTCACATTTCCGCCAACAAACTATCATCAAAATTAGCCATTGTATAACTTGTACAGATTGTAAATATACTACATTTTGTTCAGTAAAAAAAGGCATATGATGTAGAGGTACTTGYATAATATTTAATATTGATATTACTTTATAAARGTATCTTTTATCTAATGTCTTAAATCCTAATATAAATTATTATTTATTTTAAACCCGTAATTTATATTTATTATAATGTATACTGATGCGATATGGCATGTATATACAATAGTAGATACCTATGTATGTATATAGTTTGCATTGTGTATCATAATACATCTATGTGTATTAGATAAATAATTATAACATTCAAAATCATTTAGTTTAAAACTAACAACTATTACTACCTACTAGGTACAAACCTACCTAAAAAACATTAATAAAAATAATGTTAGAATAATAAAAGCATATTAAGTAGAGCCCAAATGTATACTTTAGTCTATATTATATAGTACCAAGTACCTAACCTATCTACCTACCTATTTGATATCATACAAATATATAAATTACAAAAGTTAATGCAAATACTTAATTTACAAATATCATTATCCCTACAATTGATATGATAATTTATTTAACTCATTGATGAGTGATGTATTAAAATAATTCAATATTACAGATAGAATTACCAACCAACATAAGGGTATTCACAGGTGAGTGCATATTGTATACACTAAAACCAAAAAAAGGATAAAATAAGTATTTATTCCTAGAATTAAATGAATGAATTATAAAATTTAGATGCTCTATCAGACATTAGTTATGGGAATCAACGTGATTATTGAGTTAATAATATTAATGATATTAATAAAATTGCTTATATGATCATGCAGGCCCGATGGCAGCCTAATCTTTTTTTTTTTATAACGTAGGGGGCCGGAAATACCTGGTGAGGCTATTTGCCAACTCCCCTCATCGTTTATTAAGTACAATACAATATAATACAGTAAGCTATATATTTATACACATGCGKAGGGCCTCTAACCCTCCCATAAGTCTGGCATTCAGCCCAAAGAGTGTAATTCTTAACTAGGTGTTTGCAGCTGCTGGCCCCCGCCGCTGTCTCTCGCGCTCCTCTTCCTCTCTGGTAGACAGGATAAGGTTGACGAAGTTGGCTACAGCAGTCCAGTGGCTCTTCGAATTCAGTATTGTCACAGTCACGGTTTCTGGCGTGAAGTTGACCATGATTTCAGCTTCAAGTTYAGTCCTAGCCCGCCACCACCGGTCACACTTGAAAAAAGCGTGCTCGGCATTGTCAAGGGGATCGTTGCAGTCGACACAGAGAGGGTGGTCGACTTTTTTGATTTTCCTTAGGTAGTGCCTGAAAGACCTRCCCGAAGAAGAACGGACCATGATCCTCGCCAATTGTATGGAGATCCTTTCCGCCTTTGTCGATGCTGTCTCGAAGTGCTCCTTGAAAAAGAGAGCTGTCGATGGTCATACCAAGATATGTCATTTTCGACGAT